GTCATGCACCTGCACATATGTTTATATATATATATATATGCATGCGTGTGTGTGTGCGTGTGTGTGTGTCTCTCTCTCTGGGCACCAGCCTGTTTACCGCCGCCGCCGCCGCCGCCGCTTCACACCACACGCGCAGAGGCAGACATATATATATATATATATATAGTGTGTGTGTGTGTGTTGATTGATAGATATATTTATATATCTGTGCATATCTATACATAACCTGCGGCGGACGGGAGGGAGTGGAGGGGGGGGGGGCGGTCTGCCCTAACGGTGTGCCATGCGAGGAGAGGGATGGAGGAGGGGTGCTGTGCAATTGTCTCACGATATTCAGAGGGGCTGCGCAAGTAGCGCCCTTTTGTGTGTGTGTGTGTGTGTTTGTTTGTTTGTTTGTTTCTGCTTCCCTGTCCCTTTTTTTTCTTTTGCTTGGCTAAGTGATTGGTGGATCTCCTCCCTTTCCGCCCCAGCGGGCCGATGAGGAGGGAAAGGGAAAAGGCTGGGCGAGTGTGTGCCGCGTGCGTCGTTCGTCTACAACCTTTTTTTCTTCTTTCTTCTTCTGTTTTTTTGTTTTTGTTTTTCTCTGCGTCTCTCCGCGTGCATTTGGGTGGAGGTGGCAGCGGCGGCGACGGGAATATTATTGGCGGGCAAAAAAGGAAAAAAGAAAAACGAAAAAAAAACTAAAGGGCGGGGGCGATGCACGGCGAGGACGTGGGGCTGCTGCGCCCCGGCGGGGAGGCGCAAGCGGACTACGCCACCGTCGCGCTGCGACGCGACAGCCTCAGCCCGACACCGGACGAGCGCGCCGCCATTGAAAATGTGATCAGCACCACCGAAGAGCGGCGGCGACGCGAGGCGAAAGTTTTGTACGGCGCCCTCGTCTTCTGCTGCGTGTTCATGTTGCTGGAGTTCGGCTCCGGCATCTTCGCCCACTCCCTGGCCCTCCTGACGGACGCCGCGCATCTGCTGATCGATGTGGGGGCGTACGGGCTGAGCATCATGAGCCTCAAGGCGGCCTCCAAGGCCTCGTGCGGAAAGTACAGCTACGGCTGGCACCGCGCGGAGGTGATCGGGACGCTCGTCTCCGTCTTCTCCATCTGGGCGCTGGTGGTGTGGATCATGATCGAGGGCGTGTCACGCATGTGGAACGTCGTGGCGTGCAGCCGCGTCCCGGCGACGTTGGCTGCGATGTCGCGGCGGCGGGCGGTCTCGGGCACGGCGGCCGCGGGCACCGCCGCGACGGCGTCGGAGCTGATGTGCGAGGAGATCAACTCGGAGGTCATGCTCGTCGTGGGCGTGCTGGGCATGGTCGTGAACGTGGTGTGCGCCGCCATTCTCTACTTTGGCGGCTCGCACGGGCACAGCCACTTCGGCGGCTCGCACGGCCACAGCCACGGGGAGGTGGCGAGCAGCGAGGAGGAAGGGGCGGTGGTAAACGTCTCCAGCCACACGCACGAACACCATGCGGAGCACGAGCACACGCACGAACACGAACACGAACACGAGCACGAGCACGAGCACGAGCACGAGCACGGTCATGGTGGCAAGAAAGGCAAGAAGGGGTTCGCCGTCCACGCGGCGTTGCTTCACGCACTGGGCGACTGTGTGCAGTCGCTTGGGGTAATCCTCGCGGGGACCTTCATTTACTTTACCAACAAGCACGCCTTTGGGGCCCCGTCCTACAAGTATTCGCTCTACAACCTTGCGGACCCGCTCTGCTCGTTGTTCTTTGCCGTCGTCACGCTTAACATGACGAAGCCGCTGCTCGGGGACCTCTTCGGCATCCTCATGGAGAGCACCCCGCCGGGGATCGACTACCTCGCCCTCAAGAAGGCCCTACTGAGCATTGAAGGCGTGGCCAGCGTGCACGACCTGCACGTCTGGTCTCTCTCCTCCGACTACGTCGCCCTCTCCGTCCACCTCGTCGCCGACGACGCGGCGACGGCGCTGCGCAAGGCGCAGTACGTGTGCGAGAGCCTCTTTGGCATCGACCACACGACAATCCAGGTGGACACGGTGGCGAATGGGGCCAACCTCTGCCAGGCGTCGTGCGCGAGCCAGTCAAGCAAAGCAGAGAAGTAGCGGATTAGTGTGCACCCACGCCTGGTGAATATTTTTGCATTGTGAGAAGCATCCAACGAAAAAAAAAACAGAAAAGAGAGGGATATAAATAATATGCACTATCGTGCCAAACTAAAAGGACGCATGCGACTCAACACGTATTGCGACGCCTTCTATCCTCGTTGAGTCTTGGTTTTCCGTTATGTGTGCGTGGGGTGGCACGAAGTAGAATTGGCACAATAGTGTACGGAATGGAGTGTGAATCCTCGGCGGAGGCCAAGTTCGGCGTCGTCTGTCGAGAGGGGGACGTGTGCGACTGCTGCGAGGTGCCGTCCCCCCCCCCTTCCTCCCTCTCTCTCTCTCTTTGCTGCGGCGCGTGTGCGGTGCCCCTCCCTCGCTTCTTGGGCGTTGCGCCGATGCTTCTCCTTCTCTCCCTTTGCGCCTCTCCTCTCGCCGCCTCCCTCCCCCCGGCACGCGTGTCTCGACGGGGACGGGGGCCGCCCCTGCGCTCTTCTTTTTTTTTATTATTACTATTTGCCCACTTCTGCGCTCCGCAGATGCCGCGGCGGCGGACGTGGCCGCTGAAGTGGTTGGCAACACGACGGCGCCCCGCCCCGCCGCACGCGCGGCATAAGTTTTGGCCACGGCGGGCCCGACGAGGGCCCTGGGAGCACGACGCGAAGGACCTTCGCCCGCGGCGCCGCGGTGTCGACGACGTCCGACGCTGACGGTTTTGAATCGAAAATTTGTTTTGAAGAAAAGTTTTGTGTCTGCGGCTTTTTTGTTTGTTTGTTTGTTTGAGGGGACTCGTGCGGAGCCCCCCCGGTGTGGAGAGGCGTGGCTCACCGCGTGCACCGAAGCAACTGGCCCGCCCGACGTGGGCTTGCTGTTTTCCCCTCATTTTCTTATTTCCTTCTTTTTTTTCTTTATTTCTGTGCCTCGTCTCTCACTAGCGCCCTGCTTGTGGCAACCTTTTTTTTTTTTTGGCTTCCCGCCTCGCCCCGACCCCCACGGCGGTTGGCCCTCAACGCGATGAACCCCGCCCGACGCGCCCAGGCGCGCAGGCCCCCGCCCACCCGCGAGGCGCCAGCCACAGCGACGGCCACGGCGGGCGTCTGCCGCGGCGCGCTTCTGGTTATCGGCACCTACCACTCGGTGATGGCCGGCCTTGTGTACCGCCGCGGCAAGTTTGGGATGCTCTTCTCCGTGAAGCACCACGAGGGCTGCGTCAGCAGCGTGGCGGTGGGCGACAAGTACATGGCCTCCGCCGGCACCGACGAGCGGGTCTTCCTCTTCACAAACAAGCACCAGAGGAGCCTAAGCGCCACGGAGCGGCAGCGGCTGCGGGCTGCGGGGGAGTCGGCGGGGGTGCGGCTCGCAGACCTCGGCCACGTGTCGCCGCCGAGCGAGGTGCGCTGCCTTCTCTTCATCGCCGACTCGCAGCACCTGCTCTGCGGCTGCGCGGACGGGCAACTCGTCATGTACCGCACCCGCGACTGGACCGTCGGCCGCTCGCTCCCACTGCACGAGAAGAGCGTCACGGGCATTGCGGCGCACCCGGGCAGTGACGGGGCGTTGGCGGTCACGATCGGCGCCGACCGGCACGTGGCGGTGGTTGACCTTGCGAAGGGCCGGCTGCTGAGCAAGTGGCGCTACAACACCGCCCTCGCGGAGGCCCCGTCGGCGCGGCCGCGGGGGGCGGCGGGGGAGGCGGACGGCAGCGAGGGCCAGCCGTGCGCGAAGCGGGCCAAGTTGGAGCGGCGCGATTGCCCTCACACGGTGAAGTTCTCGCCGAGCGGAAGGTACTTCACGATCCTTTCGAGCCACGCCTTCGCCGTGCACGAGACGGCAACGATGGGCCTCGTGGCCCGCTACCGGGCGGCGTCGCCGCAGCCGTGCGAGGAACTTCACGTCTTTGCGTTTGTGGACGACGACACGATGATCTTCGGGAACGAGTCGGGGGCGATGTTGGCCTGCCGTGGGCCGTGGGGCTCGGAGGACGCACGGCCGCGGGAGTGCTCTCTAAGCCCCGTTGCCGCACGCCTTCCGGCGGCGCCTGAGCAGCCGGTAGGGGACACGAAGAAGCCCCAGCGCCACCCGACGCACCATGCGACACGTTTGAAGGCCCTCTACTACGCGGAGCGCACGGTGTTCTCCATGGACGCCGCAGGCACCGTCATCGCATGGCTTGTAGGGGACCTGCACGACGCCGCGCTGACGCTGACGTACGTCTGCAGTGCAAATTGTCAGGGACGCGTCACGACGATGGACGTGCTGCTACTGTAATGGACTTGGTGCACTTCCCCCCTATGTGTGTCTCTCTCTTTGCATGCAGCTGTGGCGGGGCACCTACACACATGTATGTATGTATATATATACATCTGCGCATGCACGACACAAGTGTTGGCAAGTTCATTCCTCTTTTTTGTTTGTATTAATCCGCGTGTAAGGATAGATAAATAACGCCGAAGAGGGGGAGGACAAAAAAAACAGAAGCGGGAGTGATGTGGCGAAGCGTACACCTCGATTTTCAGTTCCTCTGCGTATGCGGGCTTCCTGGTTGTCTACACACACCCGTCGCCACTTACTTTTGTCCCTCGCGTTGATTATGTTTTCATCTGCGGTGGAAGTTCTGCGTTTTTTGTTTCTTTTTTGCCCACTGCTCTCTTCTTCCTCCCTGTCTCTTTTGCTGTTGCAGTTGTTATTCCTGCCTCTGCGTCGCGGCGCGCGAGAGCTGTGCAAGGAGCACGCATACACACCGACGACGCAGACGGCGTGTGTGTGAGGCGGGCGATGCAGTCCGGGATGCATCTGGAGATTCACACGCACCCGCTCTCCGACGAGTTGGGCAGCCGGCAGACGAGCCTGTTACCCGGGCAGGTGCGCACGCCGAAGTACCGCGTCCACTCGCCCATCACCGACTGGGCCGCGACCAGCAGCGTCTTCGACGACGGCTGCAGCGCGCGCGCGGGTCTTGGCGTGAATGGCGAGGAGAGCCACTACCCGCCGTCCCATACGACCCCGATGACGGTCTACGGGCAGGGCGACCTGTGGGGCAACGGGGGCGACTTCAGCGCGCAGGTCTCCTGCGCCTTCCTGGACGCGCTTGAGCCGGCGGCGTCGGATGCGCCCCCAGCGGTGGAGGCGACGAGCGCCAGTCCACCGACGCTGCCGGCGGCGTCGGATACCGTTTCCCCCACGACGGCGCCCGACTGTCCGACCTCCACCGCGAGTGGGGCGTCTGCGACATCCGTAGAGTGCTCCGTGCGGGCGGGGGTCGTGAGCGCAGCTGCCCGGGCGGGCCCGCCGGCTGCGTTTCCGCCGCCCGCGGAGCTGCGGTACACGGCAAGCTGCATCAAGTACCACCACCACCACCACCTCGCGCCCCACGTCGCCAGCTTGAAGGACGTTGCGTGGAGCATCATCGCGGCGGCGGGGCTGCCCCTGTCCATCGCCTGCCTGGACGACTACATCACGGAGGGGCAGCTGCAGCTGCCGCAGCCCCCGCAGGCGGCGCAGCCGTCGGACCCCTTCGCCCCCACGGCGTCCCCCAGCCGGCCTGTCGCCAAAGCGGCCCCCGCAAGGAGAAAGACTCAAAGTGAGTCGCTTAGCGACCTGCTTTACTTTCACGCGAACTTTTTTCCCCCACCGCCTCCGCCGCACGCCCCCATGCAGACCCGCCTCAGCCGTGCCGCGCTGTGGTACCATTACGCCTCCAAGTGGGACATAGCCCACCGCATGCCGCCGCCGCCCCGCAGCCCACTGCCCGAGATGGAGCTGGAGCGGCGGGAGCAGCTGCTTAGCCTCAGCCGTGCCCCCTACCACAGCGACCGGTGGCTGAAGATCTGCGAGCACTGGTTTGAGGTGATCAGGCAGCAGTTCAACTACCCGACTGCGAACACGGCGGTCCCGCTTTCGCGAAGTTTTGTGCTGAGCCACGTCGTGGTCGCGTAACTCCATTGCGTGTGCCGCCCGCATGAAGCGTCCCTGCGCTGATAGCGCGTGTTTACGGCAAACGCACGAACAAGAGTAACTGGCGCGTGTCTGCGGGGAAGCGGAAATGGAGGCGTCGGAAGGTACACCATTGCTTTTTTTTGTTTAAAAAAAAGGCAAATAAAAAACGAATGCCTGGCTGCGTGCACTTCACTAAAACTATTTGACTAAACATTGCTGCGATGGAGAGAAAAGAAGGGAAATGGAAAAACGAAAGAAGGAAGTGAATGGATAAAAACAGCACTCTCTCTTTCTTCTTTGTGTGTGTGTGTGTGTGTGTGTTTTGGCTATCTTCCGTGTTTGTTTTTGAAGAGCCCATTGCAGTCCTGCCGGTAATTCTGGCCTCCTGGGCGTGGGGGCTTTGGTGTGCCTGTGCCTGTGAGTGTGTGGGTGCCTTTTCGTCGGCTTAGGCAGTGTGGTGCCACCCCGCCTTCGTGTTACACACCTTTATTATTTTTTTTTTCGCTCCTTGTCTTAGAAGTTCCGCATTGCCTCCCCCCCTCCTCCTCATTTCTGCATCCGCGGGGCGCTCTGCCCTCGGCGTGGGGGCGACTTCAACTGCTGTGCGTGCGTGTCCGCGCAACTTCCCCCCTACACTCACTGCCGCCGCACATGTGCGCCTCTTCTCCCGCCTTTCACCCCGCACACCTCGTCCCCTCCCTGCAGCAAAAAAAGGTACATTGCGGCTTTTAGTGCGAGGGAACGAAAGAGAAAGAAAGAGACGAGTGGGGTTGCGTGCGGCGCGCAGACGGGACGGGAGCAGGCGCCAGGATGGACGCCTTCTTCAGCTCCGCGCGGGAGGCGGACGCCTTGCAGTCGGTGGACTTCGACGCCCTGCGGGACGCCGTCGCCGCGGCGCACACGTCGGAGGAGGGGCGGGAGACGCTCGCCGCGCTGATGGACGCCTACTACGCCGCCGACCGCCCGCACGCGGTGTACCAGTGGGCCATTATGCGGGCCATTGGCTGCTGCCTGCGCCAGGCCGGCCCGCCCTCGGACGGCAGCGACGGTGGGCGGCGTCGCTGGGAGCTGACGGCGGACGATTACATTCTGCTCGCGCTTTTTTTCAACGAGTTGTCCACGGTGGACGACACGCGGCTCTTTTCGCTCCTCACTGAGGCCGTGACGCTGCTCTTCGAGCAGACCGTCCCCCTCGTCTACGGGGCCGCCGGCTGCGACGCGGCGGTGGAGGCGGCAACGGCGGACTCGCTTTGCAGCGAGCTGCAGACGCTGCGGGTGGTGATGGCCAAGCGCCTCACGGCACCTCCCGCAGAGCCGGGCGCGGGCGAGGGTGGCACAGGCATGCAGCTGGGCATCCTCGACTGCCTGCGTGCGTTGCTGCTGTCACTCACGCAGGCTGCGTCAACGCGGGCCGGCACCGGCGGCGCAGTGGCCGAGCCGCCAGGAAGCGGCAGGGAAAGTGTGACGGTGGCGGTGCGGCAGGCGGTGGAGGGTGTCCTGTCGCCGCTGACGGCGGCGGTGGAGGAGCTGCGGGCGTCGGTTGGTGGAGGGAGCGGGGAGAAGGCGCCCGCGTCCATCCGCATGCAGGCAGGCACGACAGTCTCTCCGCTCGTCTTGGCGAGCGCGCTGCGTGTAGTCGAGGAACTGCTCTGGCGCTGCGCCAGCCACGCGCCGCAGCGCGACGGTTGTGAACAAACAGCCGCGGACACGCCGCTTCTCGCCGCGGGGCGCTTCGCCGTGACCCGGGTGCTCAGCGCCCTGCAACAGTATTTGGTGCTGCAGCAGCAACAGTCGATGGAGTCGGCGGCGGGGTCAATGGAAAAGGGCCCCTTCGCGGCCGATGCGCTGCGCACGGCGGGGGTGCAGTGGGCGGTGCGGCGCCTGCTGTCGGTGGTGCGGCTGCAGCTGCGTCTGTTTCCGTCGATGGAGCATGCGGTGGGGGCGGCCCTCAACGCCTTTGGCGAGGGCATGGAGGTAGAGGACCCCCTGCAGCTCATGCGCGTGCGGCACGAGTGTGAGCTGGCGCTGCAGGAGAACGCGGACAACGCCGACGCCGCGGCGTGGGGGCTGGCGGAGGCGCCGTCCTCCGACGCCCGCGCCTCGCGACTGCGGGAGTGTGAGCAGGTTTTGGCGGCGCCGCGTGCGGAGGCGACGGCGCACGAAGACGACGCCGCCGCCGCCGACCTCGGCGACCTGGACGAGGCGACCCTCCTACAAGGCGGCGGCGGTGGCGGCAAGGAGGCGTTGCTGCAAAGCACCATTGGCCCCGTCTCTGTGAACGCGCTGGTGGAGATGGTGCTGCTGAGCGTGCGCCACATGGACATCATGACGGAGCAGGCGATTCAGGCACTCCACATGCAGGGGCTGGAGCGGATGCAGTACGACGCGGCCAAGCGGGCGCAGCGGGAGGAGATCCTGCGGCAGCGGCGCATTGAGCAGCAGGGCGTGGAGGGGATTCCGGTCGGGCGGCTGCTGGAGCACCTCAAGGAGAGCACGGCCCTCTACGCAAAGGGCACCCAACTCCTTGAGAGCGAGTCGGCGCTGGCCGTGATGCTGCGCGCGGCCTTCTTTTCGCTTCTCGACGCCTACGACGCCCTCTCGGAGGAGACGGAGAGTCGCGTGCTCGAGGCGCAGGCCCTCATCGCCCGGGCACTGGCGCAGCTCCCGCCGTCGATGATAGACGCCGCCGTGGACGCGGTGTGCGTGCGCCTCCGCAATGACTTTCGCCGCTGCGCCCACGAGAAGGCGACCGCGCTGCCGCCCACCTCGGCCTACCAGCTTGCCATGCAGGTGCTGTTTACGCTCTTCTCCGCGCAGGCACCCGTGCGGGAGCGGGGGACCTCCGCCTTTGCGTTCCTGGGAACCACAAACACCGGCGCGGAGGCGGAGTTGCAGCTGCAGCTGCAGGGTTCGTCGCTGGAGCTGCGGTCGCACGCGGCCTTTACGATTGACACCGACAACCCCGTGGAGTGGCTGCAGGCGGCGGCGCCGGACACGGCAGCTGGCGGCGGTGCCGTGTCCGGCGGCGGGTTGAGTTCCCGCAAGCGCCCCCGCGACGAGGAGGAGACGCTGCACGCGGGCGGGGATGCGGACGGCGATGCTGCGGCCGGCGTGTCCGTTTTCTTCCGTGAGGACACGACGCAGTCGCCGTGCATGTACAGCTACTTCCTCTGTCGCGTGCTGGAGCTGGTGACGGAGACCGGGCTGCCGGCGCTGCTGCTTGACGCCCTGCTGCAGTGCCCCTGCATCACCCGCTACGTCTGGCACTACATCCACAAAGCACTACTGCCTTTCCACCGAAAAGGCGCGGTGCCTGCTGGGGATGTGGCTACTGAAGAGCCTCGCCCTCAGGCGCGCGGTGTACCGGCGCTACGCCGTGAACAGCCTCCTGCACCTGGCCGCCGCACGCCACGAGTACCCGCGACGACTCGCCGTGACGAAACTCGGCGAGCTGCTCTCCGCCCGCGGCGCGGACGGTCGTCGCGTCATTGACAAAAACGCCGAGACGCTGCTGGTCCGCTACGCCAAGCGGCAAATGGCGGCCATACCCGTCACGAAACTTCCCCCATTCACGGCGGCGGCGGCGGCCGTCGCCACGGCCGATTCCGCTGCGAAGGTGGAGGGCGCAGGCAGCCACGACGACGAGGGCGCCGCCGCCCTCCGTGCGAGGGAACTGCGGAAGCTCGCCGACGCGCTGGATCGCCACCTCGGCCCCTTCCTCATGCTGTGCGCGCGTCAGCCGAAGGAGCTCTTCCCCGCGCTGCTTGCCGTCTTCAAGGAGTGCGACGAGCGGCAAAACGAGGCCATGATGCACCTCCTCGCGGAGCACGTGGACGTGCGCCGGATGTGTCAACGCCTGTTCCGGACGGACGCGATGTCGTTCATGTCCAACGTGATGCCGTACCTCCGCCGGCACAGCGGCGACGCCACGGTGCTGGTGCAGAAGATACTGTGGGCCATTTGCGCGGAGCTGCGAGCGATGGGGCAGGCGACGGA